AACCCAGGTTAGTAACAAGTTTTAAAGCTGAATAAAGGGGAACCGACACATTTTTGCGAACTACACAAAGATAATAACAAAATGGGACCTGAAGAGCTTTGAATATGTATTGCAAAGGTAAAAAGGATCCAAGCAGTTTTTGACACACCTAAGTGGTGATAAATTAAAATAGGTTAAAGAAAGATAATTTGAGAGATGATGAGACAAAGAAGACATGATAAAACAAACAAGCTTTTCAGTTTATCTACTCAGGCAACACAGGCAAGATAAGCACCCTGTTCTCCACATCACACTTTTGATATATATACAATCTCAACCAAGGGGATTCTTTTGCTTTTGGTTCAGTTTTCTTCTTATTTGCTCCCCAAATTAATACACAACTTAGTGGAGTTTAACAATAATGCCAACAGAGTCAAGTGGATCTCATGTGGCATTCATCACCTCAGAAAAATGCCTGACAAAACCTCTCTCTAGCCATTTATTTAGATTTCAGATATGGAAAAGCACTGTGAGAAAACATAGAAAGACTCTTTATGAACTGCAAAGCAAAGTTAGTTCTTGTCACGAGATGCAGAGCCTGGATATGTTTTCAGCAACCAAGGCACTAATATCCTGTTGGGAGCAGGAAGAGAGAGCAAGGACAACGCTCTTCAGCTCTGCAGCCCAAAGCTGCCATGTGTGGGAAGACCAGGGAAGGATGGGAAGGCCAGCAAGCTGGGAAAGGAGAACGTTTTGGAGGAAGCCACATCAGTTGTTTCTTCACAATTACTTTGATATTAAAACATTTTTTTTTTAAAAGGCAGCAAAATGAAGTAAGACAAACCAAGACTTGAAAAGACCTGAGTTGATGCGTGGAGTCAGCTCTCAACAGTGGCCTGTGCAAATAAAGCAGCAAGCGATAAAAGGCAAGAATCATACTTGGCAGTTCATAGACAAATCTCTTTTCTTAGTAAGATTGCAGGCTATAACCTAACAAAAAATGCTATCAAGAAGATTAGAGCCTTTGTTTTCCACTTAAGCTTATACTGATAAAGCAGTTTTTACAATAGTGTGCTATGCATGTGATAATACAAGATGTCTTTAAAAGCAGCACACATTTCAAGCTTCAGTGATGATTATATCTAGGCTCTTGACATTTGATGCTGGAAAAATCTTTAATTAACTAGGACAGGATGCTGATTTATGATCATGGGCACAATGGGATTTGAGTGTTTTACAAAACTGGATTAAAAGGGAATAAGCGATACCTCCCACTTTAGTAAGATTGAATGGATTCAGTTTGAAGTCTCATTCCAGAGGGAATGAGATAAAGGTGTCCATTTTATCTGCATTTGTTTTAGTGTCATTCCTGCTAAAAACAGCAGAAGTTTCTTCAGTTAAACTGCATGGAAGACATTATAATCCTACCATCTACAGATGGTAGTCTTAAAGACATATGCCTATCAAATACTACCAGTTCTCTTCACTTACCCACCCTCATGGGCGGATAATCACAAGTGGTTATGGGTGTGACCTTATACCCCACCTTATAGGTGTGACCTTATACCCCACCTTATAGGTGTGACCTCATGCATGTCAATGTGAGGATGTAGAAGACTGGAAATGAATAAGAGTAAATGCAATGGGATGTCCCAAATTCTCAAGGCTTCTAGAAAACAGGTCCAGCTGGGTTATACCTTCCTGTACCAACAATTTAGATCAGCAGATTTCACACTTTTTTTTTTGTTAATAAACAAAAGGCTCAGAAAATTCACAGCCATGGTTTTGTCGATTAAAATTAAGATACAGCAGAGTGCTGAGTATATATTTTTCATGGTGGTCATATGACATGACTGACAGCCACTCTTCAGAAATGCTGGTTTAGATGAACGCACAAGGCAGAAATTTAACTGGTTTTCACTTTTAAAAGGCTTAACAAACTTTTTTGCCAATGATTAGAAAGTTATTTCAACAACACTGGTAGATCAATACACATTTCAAACTCTCATAATTTCTCAAAGCCTTCAGGAATCACAGAGGAATTAATTCTGGAGCTGTCTGGCTTGCTGGGGCTGCCAGTTTATATAGAACAGCAGTGCCCCAGACTAAGATCTATCAATCTGCAATTTAGAAAAAGGAAAGTGTAACCTTATAGAGGAAGTTGTTATCATAGGGCTATCAGGAAGAATTCCAGCTGGCATCGATTGGCTGTATCAGAAGGGGTATTTTCCTTTCTTCTCATTAGACATGCCATGCCACAGATAACAGTTTCCACAGATTATTTATGCCATAAAGATTTAGAATAAAAAGTTTTTCATAGCCCTGACAAATAAACTGTTTGAAACCATCAAACTGGCTAACTTCAAAATGCATTTTCATTCAGATACAGAAATAACGTAAGCTCTTCATTAGGGCACCAGTTATTCAATGACAACAGCTTACTCTCACCAATATTATTGATCTGTTCATGTTTACTCCAGTAAGCAGTCCTATGGATGTGTAACAGCAATCTTTTGAACTGACTATTTAAAGGAGCTGGTCCATAAATGTTAAATCACTTCAAGGATTTCAAGCTGAACTGAACTTTCCAAATACAGGGTTTCATATAATTCTTCAAACTTATCATTCTTATCTCCAAATCTGCATCCATTGTCTCCAAAGTCTGTAGATCTCCCTCTTTTTTTTTTGTTTCCCCCACAGAATGTCATCCTACTGCAAGTTAGTTCCACCAGATGATGAGGAGAGATGGCATTCCCTGTCCTAACATACTGCCATAGTACCAGAGTGACAACTAAAGAGAGGAGCATGAAAGACTGGCTGCAAAGATAAAGACAACCCTTTCTGGCTTAAGCTCACATATTTTGAACAAAGATAGAAAAAAGACCTAAGAGAATCCTCCACTGCTTAAGAAACTTTCTTCTTCTTCCATAACGCAAGCAGATTATGGATGAGAGAACTTACAGCATTCAGTGCAATGCATTGGACAGAGGTGGAAAGAGCAAACGTTTTTATCATTGTGATTATTAAAAGTAAATGAAGTGGCAAGGTTAAAACCAATTCACCTTTGTTTCCCACTTACTGTAGCTATTTATAACCAGGCAAAGTACATGGAGAATATTGTTGCCACTCCGATTTTGAGATGTCTAACATTCAGTTAATGCTCGTGAAAATAAGGCACATGATGCAAGGCCATGCAGACTTTGGCTTCATGTGATCAGGGATGTGCAGGACATAAAGGCAGGTCGCTAACTGAAAGAGTGCTAATCAAGAACAACAGGGAGAAGAAACCTGTCACAATAACAACATCACATGTTCCTTGATAATGTTTCAATGGAAACCTCTCATATGCTTACTGTGGGCTGCCTTCGCATCTTTAAGGAATTAAACAGTAAATGTTCCATGTATTTATAGAAAAAAATTCCAACTCCTTTTTTTTTTCTCCTACAAAAACAAAACCCAAAGATATGTGGAAAATCTGGAGTACACTAAAAATTTAGGTATTTCAGCTGTTTTTTTTTTCTACCTAGAATTAATTTGATGGGGCTAGCACCTACTGAGAAATATGACTTTAAAACGATGTTTGATTTTGAAATTGTTGGTATGCTAACAAGAACATACTCCGTTTTGCAGCAGAGGAAGGATTCACCCATCAAAAGAGACTAGCTGTCAGAGATGAAAGAGAGTAAAGAAATGGAGAGAGAGACATTTTAAACATATAAGACAAGACTTTCATCTCATGCTGGACCATACGGGACAGTGTTATTAACCTTGGAAAAAATCTGACAGGAGTGTAATAGAAAAGAAGATGAAGAAAGTATATATATAAAAAAGGAATAATTTGCCTTCAATAACTTTTCTGATCTGTACTGACACGTTTCAAGAAGTCTACATTTATGCTTTTCCACGGGTGAAGGTTTTGCCATGTGTCCCTTACTTCTTTCTGTACATGCAGAAGTGTTGGTATGGGTTTTCTGGCAGCCAGTGTGTCCTTGCTGCATCTGCCTGCTGCCTGTGGATACCTGGGCAGAGGGCAGCTGGTGCATGCATGGATGACCCGTTTGCCTGGGTCACCCATACACCTTTCCTGCACCTCTGCAGTATGTGACACTGACTGACAAAGCAGTGTTTAAGGCACTTCTGTAGTTTGGATTATTTCTGCCTGAAGAGCAGCTCTGCAGCTACAGAAGCAAGTGCTCCCAGATTCTCCTTGTCAGTCGTCTCATCGGTGCTTAAAAAACTCCCTCTGTGGGTTTCCACAACCTCGTCTTCACAATGCATTTGTAGACTAAATTCTTCTTACTCTTTGCAAGTGCTTTCTAAAATTTAAGCTATTTTTTTTTCCTGAGAACTAAATGGATTACTTTTCATCTTGCCCTTGAGGGACATGAGAAACAATTGCTCACAATCCTCTTTGCAAGAACCTTTTCCGTGTTCAATCTCCCTGCCAGCTTTCTCTTTTCCATACCAAACCAGTCAGTTCTTTCAATCCTTCCTTTTGTGTCACAGCACTAAGTCTTACTTCTGATGCTCTGACTGACCCTTAATACATGGGATCCCAGCGCAGACACAGTTTGAGATCCCAGCGCTGGGAGCCAGGGCATAAACGTTACCTTTGGTGCACACAGAATCTGCTGTGACACCTCAAAGAGCTATTAGAGAGGATTCTGCCCCCCACACACCCAGGCTTCCCCACCCCTACAGCCCCGACCCCTCCTCGCAGCACTTGCTGGCGCCCAGCACGGCAGAAGCGCTGCTCCGAGAGGAGGGCGATCTCTCCCCCACTACGGCACTGTGTGCATATTCAGCCACTGGGGTTTTTATTTGTTAGACCGTTTTATTTTAGGGGGGTGGTGTTTGAGGTCTGCATGGTAAGCACTACGGAGGCAAACCAGGATCTCCCCGGGGGGCGGGGATGGCGGTGGGGTTAGCTTCTCACCTGCGCCCATCCCCTGGTGGCGGGGCGGGGGCGCGGAGGGGGCCGCGGGGGGCCGCGCAGCACGGCGCGGGGCGGGCGGCGGAGGCGGAGCCGGCTGTACTCCGCAGCCCGCCCGCGGGGGCTCGGGCATCTCTGCGCGCCGGGCGGTGCGAGCGGCAGCCGCGCCGCGCCGGGCTCAGGGGGTGGCGGCGGCGGGATGGAGGGCGCGTACCTCGCCTGGGAGCTGGCGCACGCCGTGCTACTGCTGCTGAGCCTCTTCCCCGCAGGTGGGAACCGCGGGCGCGGGAGGGCGCGGAGCTCCGCGGGGCCGGGGCAGGCGCGGGCTGCTGCGGGGAAAACTTCAGGGGCAGCGCCGTGCCAGGGGTCGCGGCGGCAGCTCCGCGCAGTGCCCTGGCATCGCCCTGCGCTGCCTTCGCGGGACGCCCCGCCGGGGTGGTGGTGGGCAGTAAGTCCTTTGTTTGCAGTGCGCGGTTATCCGGGGCTGGGAGAGGGGCCGGCAGGGAGCCCCCACCACACCTCCCCGGGCCGGGCTGTTTTGACAATAAAGTATCTGGTGATCAGTACAAAATGTCCCCGCGGTTAAGTGCTCCTTGAACAATAGGCAGGGAAGGAGCCGCTGCCGTCAGGTGTCCGGCGCTCCCCAGCAGCCGTGAAGCCTCCCCGGGGAGGGGCCGGGGTGTCGGGGCCTGGGGTTCGGTTCGGCGACCCTGTGCGCCCCCGCTGTGGGTCGGTGCCTCGGCGCGCCCGGGAGTGGGTCGGTGCCCAGCGGTCTGGAGGGGCTGAGCAGACGGCTCACCGCGGGACTAGGCACCAGAGCCGTTGTGCTCCGGCACTGCCGGTGTTCTGCGTTGAGTAGGAGGGCGAGCGGTGTCTCTCTGGCCTTAGGAAGGTCTGTCAGTGCTGAAACTTTAGTGTGTCGGGCGTAAATTCAAAGGTTCCGTTCCACATCCTTGACAAAAGGGGCTTTCCTTGCCCAACCTTGCAGCACTAGCGCACAGGGATGGTGATTTTAAACACAGCATCTGCCTGCAGGGCTGGGCAACTTTGCACATGGCTTTCGCAGTCGCCGTGCAGCTCGTAGGCTTATAGGCATTTTGGAGGTCTACAGAGGAAGGTGCTGTAAGGAGGTCGCACCTAGTGTTCGAGGAGCTGCACCCGGTGAGGAATCTGGGCCTGGGCACCGAAGTCTGAAAGTGCGTAACACGAAAGGTTATTTTGCTACTTAACTGAGCACGCTGAGGATCCCAGGAAGCAATGCACAGTGCGAGGTGTTTAACGCCCGCTGCCGCCAGCGCAGGGAGCATCCAGGGACGGCTCCGTAAGCTCCTGCCCATGCTGCTGGGAGCCAAGAAAACTAACGTACCAGGAACTAACAGTAGTGGCAATTCATGCTTCTTTGTAAGCATTTTACTCTGGGAGGTGAGAGGGGGCAGTAGCTGATTTATAAGTATTTTTGTTAATGGTTTTGTTTGGGTAACTTTCTGGGTTTGCTCCCTTTGTTTATTGATAATCTGAATTTAAGTGTGACGTCTGCCAATTTGGGCACTTTCCTATTTAGAAATACCCACAAAATGCTAGTGCAGTGGCCACAGGGGTGGGAAAGTCTTCTACCAACAGGTTATTCCTCAAAATATGTAACTCCCCCGCCCCATATTGAAATTATCAATACCCACCAACTTTCTTTAGTTTACGTGTTTCTTACCTGAACTTGAAAGTTATCCTTCATCATATGATTAGAATGTCCTTAAGGGAAGACTGAGAAACAGGTCAGACTGTCCTGGAAAACATGAGATGCAGGCTCCAGAGTACTGGAGAGGCAAGGAGAGAACCTTCCTCTGGTTCTTGGTTCAGACACCTGTGGGAGACTTCAGCTCAGGGGCACATCAAACAAATGTGTAGACAAAAATACACTGTGTAGTAGGCAAAAATGACTTGCTGTTCAAAAGACAACTGTCTTTGGGTAGTGTGCGCATCATCTGTGCATCACACAGATGGAGGAATATTCCGATATGGTTTTGTGTTGGAGGAGGTATCAGAGTGATGGTTCATGTCCTGGCAGCGACACAGGGGACATCAGAAGTGACAGGCAGGACAGAGCTGATCTGCTGTGGTGGATTGCTCTGGAGCTAATGTGACCCCACGGTACTTTTGGGTTTGCCTCAGTGCAGCCACTTGGACTGGATGATCTCCCACAGTCCCTATTGAGACCAGTCCTGTTGTCTGTCATTATACAAATTTATATCAAGTGTCCTTCTTTGGCCTTTCGTCAAGAGCTTCTTCCTTTGTTTGCAAACAGGGAAGGAAGATGTGGACAAAAGAGCTTAATGTAGTTTCTTGGAGGGTAAACCATGCATCTCTTCTGTCCGCAGCACCTTCTTGCTTTTTGTTTTTCTTGCATCCTAACATACACTTCCACCTTTCCTTCCATTTGGATATTGCCTTAGTCCTCATTTAATGTGATATTCTGGAACAATCTTTACTCTGTACCTCTGCTGTCCTCCCCAAAGGCTTGCCCTGCCTCTCACCCCCAGTACTCTGCCAGGGTGTCTGTGGCCTTTCCATCCCATGGTCATGGAAGGCTGGACATGATTCCTTTCAGCATCCATCAGTACAGCCTTTTTTTTTTTTTTTTTCCCAGTCAGCTGCAGAGTAATAGGAGACTCTCCCTGTGCCCAGAGGGAAAAATGTCTGTTTTTATGATGCTTCCTTCTACCTGTCAGCCACAAGGGAGGAGCTTGAAGGAGGAAGATTGAATGATAAGGATTCTGATTGCTGTCACTCGGTTGATGTCTTGACCCTCTCAAACCATCTGAGTATCATGCCTTCCCTACTCCCCTGTTTCCATCTCTGCTCTCTCCTCCTTTTCTCTCTCCCTCACGTTAGGGCAGATTCTCCTGTGCAGAAACATGGCCCAAGGCCACTGCCAGAGGCAGAATGGAAGTGTCAAAGATTGCTCAATGCTTGACTCTTTTTCCTTCCTTTACAACTGGGAACCCTCTCCCAGCAAGTGCGTGTTTTTTTCTTCAGGCTTTATAATAAGGAATGTGATACATTTGGCAAGAAGTGAGACTCCCATTTGCATCCTGTGTAAGTACCATTCACAGAGACTGGAGGCATTTCCATGTGCTCATTTTGCAAGAGAGAGCCTCTCGTCAACAGATGACTGCAGCTGTAGTATTGTTTGGTTATACTGGCTCCCTGTGGGCTTTCCACCTCGCTTCAGCCCTCCCTGAAACCTATCGCTGATTGTCCAAACAGTAATGGTTCTTTACAACTGCCTGGATTCATCAAAGGATCCTGAGTCACCTCCAGAAGGGACATGTTGCACCAGGACACAGGTGGAATCAGAAGGGATATGTCTTTAGCATATGTAAGTATGAACTAGGACAGGTCTTAGGAGGAACTTCTGAGTCATGTTCCAGTTGGTAGGAGTTCCTTGTGAAACTTGTTCTTCTTTCTCTCTGGTCTGTTGTGCGAGACTCTAGTGATACCTCTATATTCTTTGGATAGATTTTTAAGGCATACATTGATCAGTCAAATTAAATACCAAGTACTTCGCATTTGTAGTTTGAAGGAAAGCTGCTTTCTAGCCTGAACTTCCAGTAAACACTGGTGTAATCTGAAGGTAAGGAGTAGCAAACTCTGTATGAAGTAAGAACCACACAGCATCAGAGTTTCAACAACATAAACATTTATCTACAATACATGACAACCAATCTAATCTCATATCAATCTTGTGGAAGAGAGGCAGTAATTGCTCAAGGTTAAGCCACTTTTCAGCTTTTTCTCTCTTCCCCGTGAAGGTGGACGTCATTGCAGAGATCAAGCTTTGCACATTGTCTTGCTCTATGCATGTGACACATGATTTTACAGATGTTGTTTTCTTTTTCATCTAGTACAAACATCTTCCAGGATTTTGACTCATTTCCTTAAGTCTCTTTCAGCTGTTCAGAGAATGGCTAGAGGAAATGAGGTCTAATATCCTAATGCATTGCATTTACTGTAAGTACCCTCTCAGTTTAAGTGTAAAACTTTGTCTTTTTTAAATTTCTGAATGTCTTCTGAATATTCTCCTGCACAAGAAAGAGTCTGCAGTTGTTTCTGTCCTTTGGAAACTCATCGGCCGTGGTTGAGGCTCTTAAGCCTTAACAGAGCTTAAGGTGTTCATTGTAACCTTAGGCGAAAGATGAATGCTGATGCTAAAGTCATCTAATGAAAGTGGTGATCCAGAATTCAGTGTGCTACATAGTTTTCTACATTTATTAAAAAACCCCCCTGAAGACAATGCATATACAGATTGCTAGGACTTGGCATAAAAGGAATTTTAAAATCATTATTCCTCTTTTGTATTGTTTTACTGCAGAAGTACTGTGCATGGCTTTTCCAGTGACTTTTAGGAAACTAAAAGGCTTTTTTTTCCGAAATTGTCTTTAACAATTAACCCTGCAAACAGTCATAAATGAACATAGTTTTAGGCATGTGAACAGCCTCCTTGGCTGGTTGCCAAACCTAATGACAACCGAAGAGTATTGTTTGTCCACTGGCCAAGATTGCTGCCGTTAGTGATAAAAGCGTAACGGGAGTGTAAACATCTGTGTTTGAAGGGAGAATGTGACTCCTGTTTTCTAGGGTATACCAATTAGAAAGCACAGTAAATGTTAATCTCTCAATGGATTTACTCTTGGGGATTATACTGACTTATTCTGAAAACATAGGTTTTCAGATGTATCTTTAAATGGATTTTTAATGATCTTTTTCATATGGCAACAGATTTTTTTTTGCACAGCACATAGGGCTCTTTATTATCTATAACAGTAATCAGGCGTTTAAATAACAGAAAAGTTTCTAATGTTGCTAGTGTGCTATGCAACTCCCGAGCTGTTCCATATGGATCCTTCCTGGAAATTGTACTAAAATGAAGCATCATTTAGTAACATTATCAGCTACAGGGGGGTTTGTTACTGGAGGGCTGACAGCATTAAATGTCTATGATTTTAAATGTCATCTTGACAGCTGAGTCCATAATCATGTGACATAATCATTAAATACCTGATATGGAGAAGAATTCTCTGGTCAACTAGGCACTGATGGTTGTAAATCTAAGTGATAAAGAGGATGCATGGGCTGATTTAAGTTGAGAAGAGACGAAAACTGTGGCAGGGAAATTTGGAAATCGGAGAGATGTATCTCTTACAGGTTCTTTGGAAACGGGGCAAATGCTAGGTTAGTCCTGCATCTCCTTTCTTTTCCCCTCAGGAATTGTCCT